TATCCTATTTTAGGGTAGTCTTCATCCTATTTTAATGATCCTTAAGTGTGCTTGTTGGGGGAGGTGGGGACCCGCTACAAGGGCTGTGAGGGAACCTGAGAGGCTTCGTGCTCCCAGATCCCCTTCCTCTCCTCCACGGTCTTTGTTTTAAAACATTCACTCGCTGATAATGATACAACCTGGAGGGAAGCGTAAAAACTCTGTCATCAGTTAATAATTTAAGTATTTAAATATTTAAGTATTTTTTTGTCAGATGTTCGAGACAAGTTTGTGGGTTTGACAGGGAAAAAATATCCGATTAACAGCCAAGTTCCCTCAGCAACATCTCCAGCTCTGACGCGGGATATAATTATATATTTATATGTTTATATATATAAGGCAAAAGGCTCTTTTAATACCTAGAAAAATATGTTGTACCTTTAACAAGCCACAGAGGGATTGGAATAATGCTATACATTGGATAGGAGATCCCCACCAATCAGAAACGGAAAAAAAAACAAAACAAAGAAAACAAATACACACGGAAGAGGGGCTGGGGGTTGCGGGGGTGGGTACTAACCGCCTCAGAATAATCTCAGTATAACCGCCTTCAGAAAAAACAGCCTCAGGAAAAGCAATCGCCCAGGCCGGCGGTTGGACCCCACCATTCTCACCAGCAGGGGGAGATAACGGAGCAGCACTTGGTTCAGTCAGACCTGAAGCCACCAGATGGGGCCAAAAGATCAGAGTAGATACCCTCGATACTTTTCTTCTCAGGGAATTTCTCTTCTGCATCTTCGGACCCGAGAAGAAAGAAAAGACCTACTAATCTCTGCTCACACACACAGACACCCACCTCCAAGATGATGGTAGTGGCCAGTGCCAGACCACCAACCAAATGGCCTCTCTGCTCCAGCTACCCATTCATAAAATCAGAATCGAAATAGTACCCATTTCAGAAGATTGCGTGAGAATTAAATGAGTTAATGCATACAAAACACAGTACCAAACAAATTATCAGGCCCCATTCCAGACCTGCAGAACTAGAAACTCTGGGTTGGGGCCCAACTATCTGTTTTTAGTTTTTGGTGTGTTTAACACTTTACTTACATTTACTGGTTTATAACTCCAGAACAGCCAAAAAGAAGGGATGTACAGGGCAAAGTATGGGGTGGGGATAGGTGTACGCAGAACTTTCATGCCCCTTTCAGGTACATTACCCTCTTGATCCTGGGAGCTCCCCAACTGTTTTAACAAGCCCTTCAGGTGATTCTGATGCACGCTGAAGTGTAAGAATTATTGCTCGAGGAAGAAGGCTTCCTCCTCAAATAGCTAACCAATGTTTTTGTCATTATTAGAGATTCCATGATTATGTGGCTTCTGACTTGTTTCCTGCCTGAAATTCCAAAGCCATCATTTGTTTCTTGAGCCCAGCTGTGTGCCCAGTAGTGTGGCAGATACAATGAAAGAGACAGAAAACCTGCCCTCCAGGCTTTCAATGTAGGTTATCCAGGAATAGGGAAAGTTAATTAACTCTAGGAGGCCAGACCTAGTCAATGTTAGATGAATTATACAGATGATAAACACATGTTCTAGGAAATCACAGGCGGGAAATTTCACAATTATAAGAGGGAGGGGCCTGACTAGAAATGGCCACTGCCAAGCCAAGCCCACCCCTCAAAAATAGCTGTAAGTCATTTTCTACAAGGCAATAGAACAGACCTTAGCTGCCTAATTTAGTCCCTACCTAAAAGGAAATCCCACCATATCTGAGTCTGCTTTCCTTTAACAGCTGCCCTCTGAAATTTAAAAAATGAGAATGTTTATAGCTTTTAAAGAGTCCTTTATTTTCTCCCTCCACTGCTTCAATCACTCATAGGAAAGGACAGACAGATATGCACAGTACAGACATAATATAAATACTTGACAGAAGTAATTATGCAGCACCATTGCCGAGATGTCCAGAATAGCTATCTAATTTTTCACTTTAGTGTGGTTGCATGAAGCTACTCTAAATGACATTGTGTATTCTCATGGCTGGAAAACAGTTCAGGAGAAAAAGAAGTGGAGTTCCCATTTGTATTGGTCCACAATAAATAATGTCTGATAATCATTAGCATCATGGCCCATTTTCCAAATGGTCACTGTGTCATCACATAAACTAAATTAGGTAGGCTAAATCTGAGTCTGGAAGATCCTTAGTGGGACTAACAGGCAGAAAGTGATTTCATGTAGGCTGATCATTCAACTCATTTAAATTTCATTTTGCCATTATTCATAATAATTACATTACAGACACAGGTCCCATTATTATCTTAATAGCTCTTTCAAACCAAATGCAAACTGAAAGCATATTTAAAGTGTTGACTTGTATAATTATTCACAAGTTTGTGTGGAAGAGATGTTTGGGTAGAATAAACAAGGTTAGAAGACAGATGGTGATTAGAGGAAAAAATGATAACCAAAGCTTCTGTGTTTAACATCTCTGTGTTTGGCTCTTAAAGGTTAACCTAAGTGCATACTACTTCACACATACTCACACACTAACATAGCGTATTCCTTCTTTTTATTTATTTATTTATCTGTTTGTTTGTTTGTTTTTGGCTGCATTGGGTCTTCGTTGCGGCACACGGGCTTTCTCTGGTTGCAGCAAGCGGGGGCTACTCTTCATTGTGGTGCACGGACTTCTCATTACGGTGGCTTCTCTTGTTGCGGAGCATGGGCTCCAGGCGTGCGGGCTTCAGTAGTCGTGGCATGTGGGCTCAGTAGTTGTGGCTCACAGGCTCTAGAGCGCAGGCTCAGTAGTTGTGGCTCACAGGCTCTAGAGCGCAGGCTCAGTAGTTGTGGCGCACGGGCTTACTTGCTCTGTGGCTTGTGGGATCTTGCCAGACCAGGGTTCGAACCCGTGTCCCCTGAATTGGCAGGTGGATTTTTGACCACTGCGCCACCAGGGAAGCCCCCATATTCCTTCTTTTAACTCTTTGGATATCCCTTCTCCCCCATCTATCCCCATCTCTAGTCAGTACAGGCCAGTCTGAGAGCTTCAGCAGG